AATTTCTGATATATCACATATTTAATTACATAATTAATCTAATAATTAGTTACATATATAATCATACAATTAATCAAATAATTTATGTCATAATTAATCACATAACATTTCTATATCAAGTCAAAATGAGAATAAGAATTACTTATAATAGCCTAAATCTAATAAAAATAATAATAATTAATAAAATAATAGTCTTTAGTACTTACATGATATTTTTAATATGTGTTTACATGAAATAAAAAATATGATAGATCCTAAATATTTCCCTAAAATCGAATAAAAGTTAATATAAATTTAAGTAAATAAAATTAATAAAAGGTTAATAATAATTTATTTTACAAAAAGTAAGCTTATCAATAACATTTATGCTTAGAAGAATAAAAAATAAAAATATTAGAAAATAAAACCGAGCATTTGAATAAAAACAATGAAATTATAATATAGGCATTATAAGCTTCTAAAGAAGAAATAACATAATTAATTTAAAATTATAAAAATTTAAATTAAGATCATGTAATTTTTTTTATTTATTTAAAAAAAAAAAAAAATAGAATGAAGTTTTATAATAAATATAAGTATTTTAAATTAAATAATAAAACTAAATTGTATATATTGAAAAGCTTGAAAAAGAAAAAGAGCATTTAAAAAGTCTTATTTTAATTGCTAATGAAAAATATGAAAACATAGAAAATAAATACAATAAAGCTCATAAAAAAAATTAAGTCCTAAATTAAAATATTCTTAACATGTAAAATTAATTTTCTAACATAAACTAAATATTAAGGTATTATTATTATTTATTTTTTAAAAAAATCATATATTTAATAATAAAAATAAAGATAAGTGATTATTAATTTATAAGATACTTCTTAAAATTCATCTATTGATAGAGTTTTATAGAGTATTTTAAAAGGTATTTTTTTAAAAAAACTATAAATATAAATTTATATATATATAATAATAGAGACCAATGAGCTATTACATAAACGAGATAATGAATCTTCTTTATCAAAATGTTCTATAATAAACAGCCCTAACAATAATAGCTATTAAAATAAAATAAGAGATAGATCTTTAAATTTATCAAAAAAAAATCTTAAAATAAAGTATAAATAAATATTTTTTTCTTTATATATGTTTTTATATTAAGAGAATATCACCTAATATTTATAAAAATGTCTATTAAAAAAATTAATAAAAAAATTAAATTATTTCTAAAAATAAATAAAATAATATTAATTATTCAAAAGACGATTAAGAGTAAATATAATAAAAAATCTTATAAAATTTAAATTATTTTAATCAGGAAAATATAAGAAAGATATAGAAAGTTATTCTTAAAACAACTCAAATAAGATAAATATTTAATATTCTGAAAATATAAGAAAAAATAAATAAATAAAGTATTATTTAAATATCAAAATTATATATATATAAAATTAAAATAAAAAAAAATTAAAATAAATTATATTTATTATATTTTGTTGTGTATATTTGTAAAATAAAAAAATTTTATTATATTTTAAATAAAATATAATTTATATATAAAATACGTAAAATTAAAATATTTATCCTAATAATATTTTATTTAAAATAAAAAAGAATATAAATATTTAATAAATTTGAAATATGACATATTATTAATTTATATTTAAATTTTTGAATGATATAATGATTTTTTATAATATCTAATTAATATTATATATTTATAATAATACAAATATAAATTTTTAAGTATATATATTTAATAATTTTATACTTATATATTTTTATTTAAATAAAGTATATAATATTTAATTATTTATATTATTTTAATGATATAAATTAGAAAAACTAAAATTAGAAAAAAATATTATAATAAAAGAAATAATAGATATTTAAATAAATGAGCAGAGATAATTTAAAATTTATATTAAATTTAAATTTAAACAATTTTAACATATAACTAAATGATATAAATTCCGAATAAAGTATTTTTTATAATTTTATTAATGTAAAAACATTTTAATGTATAAATAATACTTTAATTATAGGTCTGATAACTTAAATTTATAATATTTTATTATATTATCTACACAAATAATTGTTTTGTCTAAATAATTTTTATTTATCTGTATTATTTGATACTAATGAAAAAACTTCTAAAAATATATATTTAAAAAATTAAGATAATAAATAATATATAAAAGACACAATTTTATTGTCATTATGCTTATACGATTAATTTATTATTTTTTACTTCAATTAGCATATTAAAATAATAGTTTATGTTTTTATGTTATTTGTGATAAATATTTATCTTATTTTTCAGTATTTTCAATTATTAACATATATAATTTAGCCATTTTTATTATTGGTTAATTTATTAAAAGTATTTTTGTATATAAATTATAATATTTTTTGATCTAACTAATGTAAATAAATAAATTTTTCAATGTTATAGAATACAGAATGTTAAAAAAGATTTAATAAAGTAAATTTAACATTTTTATTTTTTTTATATTTATTTTTAGAGAAAATGTTCAATATTATATATAAATTAATTTATTAATTTCAGCTTAAATAAATAAAATCTTAAATGGATGATATGCAAATAATATTTAGAATAAAATAAGGAAAGAAACATAATATATTTGTTAAAACAATAAAAAAAAATTAAGAGAAAAAATTATTTATAAAATATTTCTTAAAATTAATACATAAAAAATATATAAAAATCTTATAAAATTTTATAATTTAACAACTATTAAAATTTTTATTTTTATATTTAAGAAAATGTCAATTATAAATTAATAAAATAATGAAATCTATAACTATGCATAATTTCTTATAAACCAAAGAAATTTTAAGATCTTAAATAATCCCAAATAATAAGAAATCGTTTAAAAATTCTATTAAATAGAAATTATTTTAAATAAGTTTTTTTTAAATTTAAACATAAAAAATTGTCTAGTTAAGGCTATAATAATTTAAAGTAATAAATATATAAATAAATATTTATAAGAAAATATTATTATAAAATATATTTTAATATATATATATATATATACATATAAATTTTTATTTATATATACACGTATATATAAAGATCATAATTAATATGACTAAAACAATCTAATTCTTCTTGAATAAAAAATTGCTGATTTTAAAAACTAAGTAATATTGTTTCCTATGACTATTTAAATAAATTCTAAAAATTAATAATGTATGAAAAGTCCAATATAGATTTAAATTCTAATATAATACTAAAATATATTTAAAACAGTTGGATAAATAGAATTAGATATTTCTTATTATATAAATAATGGAATAAATTGTAAATAAGAATAGAGAATTTTATAAAATTGTCCTGATTTTAATGCTTAGATATATTTCAAAATTAAAATTTAAGAACTTATCAATTAATCAAAAGAATCTAGCTAAATTATAAAGTTTTTATATGTATTTGTAATATATGTTTATTTATTTTTTATTTTATTTTTTAAATTCTTTCTAAACAAGTTTATCGAATAAAAATCAGGAAATAAAATAATTGAAAACTAATCAAAAATAAAAAAATATTGATGATACTTATTTTTCTGATGGATTTGAAGAATTTTTTTAAAAAAATAAAGATTTATTCACATCAAATTAATAAAAAAGCAAATAATTAAGTTCTTAAAATTAAATGGAAATATAAATAATATAATAAAATGAATAAATATAAAAGCTTAAAATATAATTAGAATAGTTTTTGAAGGAAAATGAGGAAAAAAAAGATCAAATATGTTATTTAAAAAAGGAAAAATAAGGTTTTGGGGAAGAAATAATCAAGTTATAAAATGAAATAAAGGAATTGAAATTTAAATTATAATAAAATGATTAAGAAAAAATAAATTTAATTAAATAATTAAATAATTCAGAATATTTATAATATTAATAATAAAAAGAATTAGAAAGCATAAAAAATAAATAGGAAAAAGATTAAAATATGGATTAATAATAAGAATTATGGCAATAAGATAATGAATTAAGAGTTAATTAAAATAAATTATAATAGGAAAATATTAAATTAAAAAAAGAAAATGAAAATTTAAGCAACAAAATAGAAGAAATGCAAAAATAAGAGGATAAAATAATTAAATAGAACAAAAAATAAATTGAAGAATTAAATTAAAAATATATATAATAATAAGTATATAAATATATATATATATATATATATATATATATATAATTATAATCTATATATTTTTTTTATACTTATTTATATATAAAACTATTTAGAATAATAATTCAGATTTCTAAATAAATTATTAAGAACTTTAAAAAAAAATTGATATAAAAGATAATTGTTTATAAAAATAAGATTTACAAATAATTAATTTAGAAAAAGATTTAGTTAAATATAAATAGAATTTTTCTGATATGATAAACTAAATTTTATAAGATGATAATCCTTTATTATTTGAAATTATAGAACCTTATATTAATTTTAATAAATGATTATACTATATACTTTATTATATATATTATCTTATTATTATTATTATTGACTATTTAATAAAAATATATATATATTTTTTTTAATATATTATATTATATTAAAATTTTTTTTAATATAAAATATTAATAATATTAATATTTTTATCAATTTTTTTTTTTTTTTTTTTATTAATTAATAATTAATTTTTTTTTTATCATATATATTTAAAAACATTTATTTATAATTATTTTTAATTTATTAATTGATATATTCATTTATTTGTTTTATTATTAATATTTAATAAAATTATTCAAAATAAATAATAACAATAGAAATATAATAAATAACACATACATAATTATCTATTTATATCTTTATAATTATTTCAATAAAATATTTTAATAATTCAATTTTTTAAAAATAAAATTATTAATTATATATACGAATGTAAGATAAAAATATAACTTTTGATAATAAAGTATTAGAATATAAAGTATAAATAAAAAAAGATTAGTAATAATCTTTTATTGAGGCAACAATGATATGTTATCCTTTATACATATAGGTTTATTTTTTTATTTTAAAAAAAACAAATGAAATTATTTTATTTAATTATAATAATGGAATTTATTTTATAAAAAATAACTTTTATTTGCTTAATAATAATTAAAGTTTTTAGATTAATAAATGAAAGAAATAGAAATATATTAATTAACAAGAAAAAGTAGATTAGAATGGATATGGAAAGATAATAAATATTAAAATAATTATTTATCACATATAGGATTTTATTTATAAAAATCATGGGAGCCTGAAAACAAAAAAGAATTAAAATAAATGATATAAAACAATTTAATGTAAAATTATGTATCATAAAAAGATATTGATTTAAATGCAAAATTAAGTTTAATAAGTATTACAGAAGAAAACTAAGATACTAATAAAGAATATGAATAATTAAATTAAATTATAGTATATTTTAAATAAGAAGATAGTAAACCGAAAATAATGCAATTTTTAAAATCAAAAATAATATAAAAAAGATTTCATACTGTATATAAAGCAGTAAGAAGATTAGGAAAAGGAAGCTTTGCATCAGTAAATATATATATAAGTATAAATATTTTATATTTATATATTAAATATATTTAAAATATATATTTAATATATAAAGGTTTATCTTGTAAATTAAGTAGATTCTAATTAATAATTTGCACTAAAAGCTTTTTTTAAGGAAAAATTATTATAAGAGACATATGGATATGTAAAAAAATAAATTTAAACATATATTTAATTAATTATATATTAATTAAACAATATATATATTACACACAATATTTATTTTATTATGTATATATTTTTTTATATATATAAAGGAATCTTTTTATAATGAAATAATTTTAATGCGAAACCTTCACCATCCAAATATAATACCCTTATTAGAAATTTGGGAATCTACAAACAGTTATTATATGATAATTCCCTTATGTAATGGAGGTTCTTTATTAGAAAGAATATCCTTGAACATAAAAATGAAAAAAAATCCATCTTTACCATAAGAGAAGGACTTATCGCCTATAGATGATAATTTTATTTTATAATTTATTAAATAAATTCTCGAAGCTCTTATATATATGAAAAAATAAGGAATTTTACATAGAGACCTTAAACCCGACAATATATTGTTAAACTCAAGGCATTTAGTCCTACCTATTATTATAGATTTGGGACTAGGAACATTTTAAAACGTTGATAATTTTATTTATCCAAAGTGTGGTACTCCAGGCTATATAGCACCTGAAATTATTAATTTGAAAGACAAAACAACTAAATATACTACTCAATGCGATATTTTTAGTTTAGGATGCATATTTTATTTTTTGTAATTTTATTTTTATTTAATAATAAATTTTTTAAAATATATAGATTAACATTAAAACCTCTATTTATGGGAAAAACTACAAAGGAAACAATAGAATTAAATAAAAAATGTGAAATCGATTTTAATAAACCTGAATTATAAAATATAAATGAATAAGGTAAAAATTTATACATAGATATTCCTTATAATAATTTTATTATTAGCTAAAAATCTTCTATAAAAAATGCTTGAAATCGATCCTTAATAAAGAATAACAGCCGAATAAGCATTAATTTCTGATTATATTAAAAATAAAAATTAATTATCTGAAGATGATGATGATTTAGAAATACCAGAAGATCCAACAACATAAATATGTTAAATATTTAAATAATTTAATAATGAGTAAATAATTATATATATATATATATATATAAATATATATATATATATATATATATATATATATATATAATTATATATATATAATTATATATATATAATTATTTATATTAGAAAAAAGTTTGATATGTAAAGAATAAATTAGCATGGAACATTTAATGTAATTTAGAATTCTTATAAAAGCTTTAATTTGATTGATTATAATAATTCTTTAATTAAATGCAATTTTTCATCTTAATTAAATTCAAGTCTAGTAATGAAACAACCGAACTAATAATTAGACTCTGAAAATAAATTAAGTGTCGAAGATTTAGCTTAATATAATCCTTAAAGTACCCAAAGAAAAAGACATAATACAACTTCTGGATTTAGGCAGGATGAAATAACAAGAAAAAAAAAAAACCATAAAGGAACTTTTGAATAAAATTAGTTTGAATTGTATTAAATTCTCAGGAAGAAATAAAATACAATCAATGATGATAAAGAATTAAAGGAAGAAATTGAAGAAGAAGAAAATAATTTAAAAAGAATATAAAATAGAGCAAAAACATTTTCGACTGATAACAGTAATTAGATTTTAAAAAAAGTATTGAAAAAGCCTAATAATAATTAATTATATAAAATATATTAAGAAGAAGAAGAATATAAGAAAAATTGATTTTTCTATTTATTTTTTCAATAAAAATTGTAAACCTTTTTTTTTTTTTTTACAGTTTTTAAAATTATTATGTATTATATGAAATGTTTTACTTATTCTTTTTTTAAAAAAAAATAGAATATTTAAATATTTAATTTAATATTCATTTTTATATTTTTTTATTTATTAAATTATATAATTACTTTTATTTTTATTTATCAACATATTATTAATATTTCTAAATTTCTTAATTTACTTATTAAATTATGTTTTGCTTTGACAACAATTCTATATTTCTATAATTTTCATAGTCTTGAGTTTTCTTTATAAAAGTAATATTCGATAATGCATTTTTTAATTGCTTTTATTTTTTTATTAGAATAAATTCAGATTTTTATGTTTTTTCACCTAAACTATTACTATATCTAAACCTTTCCTAAGAACATTATTAACTGAATTATTTTCTAAGAGATAAATCTTTTTTTCGTTGTGTGATATTTTAATTAGATTATGAATATTATAACTATTATTATTAATTTTATTTGTATTCAGGAAATTTAAGAAATTCAATATTTTAAGAAGTTTAATTTATATTATTATTGCTATTATTAATATTATTATATTCAATAATTTAATTTTCTTAATTAAAAATTTCATTTTTATTCAAAATATTATTAACGAAATTATAAATTTACTTAATAGCTTAAGATTTTTAAGTCATATTTTTAATTATATTTAAAGTATTTAATATTTCTTAGAATTCTTTTTCTTATTCTTATTCTTATTCTTAATTTTATAATTAATTAAAATTTTAATAAATCGAGTTTTAATTTTTAGAATGAAAAATATTTTTAGTTTTACTAATATAGCCTTTATCATTATTGTTTTTTTAATTTTATTCATTCTGTTTTTTAAAATTCACATTTTTTTTATTATTATTTTCATTTATTACTTTTAAAATACTTTTATTTAATTTTTCATCTTTTTCATCATTTTCATCTTTTTCATCTATTTTTTCACAGCTTTTTTTATTTTCAATTTAATTTTAAGATATTTATATTTATAATTATTCTTATTCTTATTGAGTCATTTTATTATTTAATTTTCGTTTTTAATTTTATTAAAATATACTGGGAAATTCCTAATGGGATTTTTGTATAAAAAATTGATCTTTTTCTTATAAAAATTAATTTTCTTTTGTAATTTACTATTTAAAAGAATTTCTATGTGTAATATGTTTATTATTATTAACTTTTACATTTTAATTATTTCCTTGATCTTATTTTTAATTTTAATTCTTTTTATTCTAATCTGTATTTTATTAATTTCCTTAATTTTCTGTTTTATATTTTATCATTTGAGATTTTATTAATTCATTACTATTTTATATATTTTATATTTCATATAATGATACATTTTGTATTTTTTTTGAAGAATCAACTACTTTTTCAATATTTTAGTTCGAAAATGTAGTATTGTTTTTTGCAATTCGAGAATGAATTTAAGGAACTTCCTTTTTTATTAGATTATTAAGTTCTATATTAGCTGTTTATAACTCGGAATTTTTTTAAAGAATTTCTAAAATTCTAACTTATTTTTAATCTATTTATTCTTTTAATTTAGAGATTTCAAATATATAATTTTAAATATTAGTTTTATAAGATTTAATCTATATAAAGAAAAAAAAAATAAAAAAATAAAAAAAATAAAAAAATACTTTATCCTTTAAAGATTAAATATCCTATTTAAAATACTCTATTCTATCAATAAGAAAAGTATAAGATCCATCAGTTTAACAACTTTAAGAATGATAAACAGTATTTACTTTATTATATAATTTCTAAATAATATTAAAAATTATTTATTGCATTCTTTTTTTAACATTATCTTCTAAATTAACTTAAATTTCCTTACTTAATTCTTCTAATATTAACTTACTATAATTAATTTATATTGTATCAATTTAATTTCTATTAAATACATTTTATTAAGCCTATATTAAATAAAAATAATAAAATAAAATAAAAAAATAATAATAATATACATATATATATATATATTATCATATTTATATATATAATTTTGTTTACTTATTCTTCATATATATTAAATGACTACGTAGTATTTTCTAATTAATCAATAGCACCCTGCAATTATAATTATATATTAGAAGGTTTTCGGCTTAGAATTTATTATTTTTTTAATAAAATTTCTTATGTTTTTTTTCTACTTCTTTTAAATCTAACAATAATGGATCACAGTACCTTCTTAAATTTTTTTTTATTCTTTCCGGCATTTTGTCTTGTTTCTCTAAATTATTATTTTTAATAATATAGCATTACTCTTCTTCTGTAATACCTATTTAATGTTTTATATTTTCACTAAAATTTAATTGACGTAAATTGTTTGCACTAAGTTTTTCTTTTATTAAACAAAAGAATTTAGAATCAAGTATGTTTGGAAGTTTATAATGGTCTTATATAACTTTAATTAATATTAAGAATATTTTTCTTTAAGAATTAAATAATAATTAGAAAAAACTGCTTATTTAATTGTCTGATATTCGAAATTATTCTTATACTATAGCGAATATATTTAATATGTTTAATATATCATTTATGAATATGTTATCGAATTATAATTAAGTACTGATAGGTTTGTATTAATATTTTTGAAGGATGTTTTAGTCCATTTTTAATATTATGTTTTGGATACATTATATTTTACATTATAAACTATATATATAAATATATTTTTATATATATGTAATTATATAAATTAAATTAAATTATATATATATATTTTTTATATATATTATTATTTTATCTTTTATTTTTATTTTTACTCTTCTTTTTCTTTTTTTTCTATAAATTATTATGAATCCATTTTTTATTATAAAAATAATATTATATTTAATTAATATAAATTAGCAAAAATTTTAAAATGTTAATTTTCTATAAAAAAATAGATTATATAAATAATTATATAATTTAATCATATTAATTTTAAAGAAATAATATTATCATTTGAATAAATATATATGAAATATTTATTCTTTTGTGAATAAAAATATATATTTTATATTTTAAATTATAATATAGCACACATAAATATTATTAAATATTTACCTTAATATTTTAAAAAGCAAAACATAACATAAATAAAATAAGAGGAAAAAAAAAAACCAAAAAATATAAAATATATGTCAAAAATATTAGATAAACTTGATTAAAAATAATTATTAATAGATTCATTCATTACGTTTTTCGAAAAAATTCTAAATTTATTTTCTGACAATTCATAAACAATAAAGTAAGAATGGTACAAATTTAAAGAAAAATTAACTAGTGACACAATTGAATAAATATATGATTATACTTAAAAAATATAAATAAATTCCACAAATAGCCCATAAATAATTAAATAAAAAAAATCAATATCATAAAAAAAAGATTTATCCCAAGAAGGTTTCGAAACCAACGTAAATGATCTATATGAAACAAGCAATTCCATATTTTAAACGTGTGAAAAAAGCGGTTGTAATAGTTCAAATATAGACATGAATTCATTTATAGACGTGGACTATCCAACAAAGCGTATCCAAAATACATAAATAAAATACTTAAATAATTTAAATGAGGTAAATATGATTTCAAATATGAAATAATCATTTGAACCTTATAGATTGGAATTACTTAATTAAATAAAAAATCATATTTAATAATTTATAAAAAATAATGAAGGCCTTGAAATGATAAATAAAAGAAGTTTTTAAACATAAACTATGTTAGTTGTAAATAAATAGAAATTTTAAGAAAAAATAAAAAATAAGATTCTATAAGAGATTATTCTATTTATTCGAAAAAAGAAAAATAAGTTTAATAAAATAATTAGAATTAATAAAATACTAATTGTAATTAATAATAATAATAATAGTAATAATAATAGTAATAGTAATATAATAATAATAATAATAATAATAATAATAATAATTATAATAATAATAATAATAAAACGAAGTATAAAACTAGGATATAAATGAAGAAAAAAAATAATAAAAAAATTAAGACTTTATTAAGGATATTAATAATGATGAAAGAAATGTTAATTTATTAAATTTTCCAAATAATATAGATTTTATTAAATTAAAAGGAACAAATAATGATAATAATAATATTAATAATCATAATAATATGTAAAATAATAAATATTAGTAATAGATTATTAAAAATAACAATCGATTATAGGAAATTTAATAATAAGTTTAATAAAAGTTATAATTAAAAGCTCATGAAAAAACTTAAAAATAGGAAATTTTAAACATAATTAAAAGTGATAATGATATTGATAATTTAGTATCTAGAATATTAAAGGAATAAAAAGAAAAAGGAATGTAAAATGAAAAAAAAAAAACTTACAAAATTGAATAAGACAAATTAATATAAGAAATAATTAATAAATAAGGTAAAGGAGGATTTTATAAGGATTATAGTTAGAAAAAAGAATGATAACTATTTAAATAATTATATTATTAAAAATAATAATAATAAAAATACATCTATATTTGCATTAATATGTTTGAGTTATTATATTTTATAAAATTTATAATAAATTTTTTTTATATATAAATATGTATTATATATAATAGTAAAAAATTTAGTAAAAACCTAAAAAATATATATATTATCATGAATAAATAAATATCTAAATTTATAATTAAAGAAACAAGCTTATATAAATTATAATTATTATTATATGAAATATAAATTATTATTAATATAAATATTTAAACATTTATAAAAAAAGAATAGAAAAGATTTATTGAATAAAATATGTTCCCATTAAAATATTATTATATTTAATAAAAAAAATTATAAATACTTATTAATCAAAATATTTATAAAGAAATTAATTTAAATAATAATAATATAAATTAATTATTTAAATAGAAAAACATAAATTAATATATAAAAAAAAATAATGAAATTTTTCCAAAAAAAAAAAAATAATAAAATTTTTTTATAATTATATAAAATTATTTTATATTTTATTATTTTAAATTAAATTATATAAATTATTTTACATTTTGTATATTAATTTAAATAAATTTATATTTTTTATTATAAATAAAATTATATTTTATTTATATTAAATTAAATTAATTAAATTATATTTTATTAAATTATATATAATTATATCATATATAATTAAATAATATTCAATTAAGTAAAGCTTCATGTACATAAGTAGTAATTTTCGCAACTTTTTACTATTCAATTCTATCATCGAAATCTTTTAATGGAATTTTTATATTATCAACAATGTCAAAGAAAAGTTCTTCTGAAAATAAATTTCCTTATAAATTTTTTAACATTCCAATAGCATTATCAAATGTTGCCATTTTTAATTCCAAATCAAAATATTCAATATATGCCAAGCCTGCCTTAAATGCGAAAATCTCTCCTTCCAATAATAAATTATCTAAAATTCTGCTTACAATATTAACATTTAAAACATTAGAAAATAAATTCATTAGCCAATCAATTAAAAATAATTCTGTGGACAAATCAAGTGCTTTTAAGTGTTAATGTACAAGAGGTTTTTATTTGAACAAATATTCATTAAAAAACCTTACTCTCCATTCAATTTCTCTCATATCTCCTCTAAAAAGACTCAAAAAATGATAAGAATGTAAAAGATTTATAAAGCATTTAAATGAATTATATTCATCTAAATGTAATAATAAAACACACACTAAATTAGGCATCACTTCTTTTATATATCCTAGATCTGGTCTATAGAAAATAAATGCCTGTAGTATGTTTTCCATCTAAACTAATTATTCGTTATTTATGATTTATTAAAATTTCTATATATACATTTATTTTAAATCTTCTTTCATTTTTGACACTGATTTACTAATTAAAGAAGATGTATTTTATTAATTATTTTATTGCTTAAGTAATATTTTATATAGATTTTCTGTAATTTCTAATTAATTTCCAATTGCGAGAGGCCAAATAGTCTTTCTGACCCATTTTGGCATTCCTAATTTCCATAAACAAATTAAAAGTAAAGATTTATTATTATTATTTATAATTTCTAATTCTTCATATTCTTTTCTTTATTATATTTTAAAATTATTATTATTTTTATTATTTTATACATTATTATTATTATTTTTTTTATGAAAGCAAGTAAATAATAATTCATAAAACTTCAAGTTAATATTATTATTTTTTTATTAAAATTTCACTAAATTTTTCGGTTTAGAAATTTAATAATCCCAATGTTAATCCCATTTAGAAAAAATATCAATTCTCCAAATTTCGCTTATTTTTTCCTAATTTTCTCCCTTTTTTTCATTCATTTTTTAATTTTTGCCTCTCTCTTTTCATTTAAAACATGATAAATATAAAAAACCCATTTAAAAAGTGTTTAAACATCATTAGCCTTTAAATCTAAACTCCTCTAACTAGCAATAATAGACAAGCAAAACTAATCAAACTCTTCCGGTATGTTATTTCGTCTCATAACTTCCGTAGATCCGGCTCCTAGGCAAATATCTTTTAAGTCTTTTACTAAAATAAATCTTTCCCTTCTTCCTTTCTTATTATTATTATTATTATATACAAAATCGCATTCCATCCAAATGATTTTTTCTAAATTTTGGCTTAAAAAAATCTTCCTCATATGAGGTTTCCCTTTCCTCCCATATTTCAACATATTGACCCCTCCTTATAAAAAACAGACTAACTATTAAATATCTTAATTCTTAAGCTCATCTATAGAAATTCTATTAATCTATTCTATATAGTCTATTTTTGTTTCAAATTTTTCCTTTACAATATTATCATATAATTCTCCCAGAAATTCCTTAGAAATTGCATTTCTGGTACAAGCTAAATTATTTTGGGTGAATTTTTCTTTAGTCATTTTATATTTTTTTTCTATTTTATTTGAATGGGCATCTACATTCAACATTATAGCTGAATAACATAAAATATAAGGTACATCCTAATCTGTAAAAACTCCTGGATTATCCAAAGTATATACTTTAGTAAATTTCTATACAATTCTATCAATTTATTATGACTCGCCAGGTAGTTTAAACCTAGAAAGGAACATTCTTATAGCCTGGTCAAATTTGAGTTCTCTAAAATCAAGTAGACTGCAAAAAGCTTCTAAAATAAGTTAATTTTTTTCATTATTTTTTCCGAAATACTAACCTAATTATTACTTATTAATACCTTCTGTAGTCAGCAACATGTAGGCTATATCTTCAGGTGTATTATCACATAGATTTTTATCTATCAGAAATTAAATAGCTTATTAGGGATTATCCATAAATTCTTTTAAAAACTAATCCATTATTTATCTGAATTTTTAGTGTTCTTCAATATTGTTTAGTTCGTTTCTTAGCTCTTAGTTCAATATGTATTCCTATTGGGAGTTTTTAAGGGAGCCTTTTAAATCGAAATTTTAGTCATCATGGGGTGTTTCTGATTATTCGATATTCATTATTCGCTTTTTATAGGTTATTGTAGGAAAACCAGTCCTATGTTTTAATTAATCATGGAAAAACTATTAGCAGAATTTGCTGAATTTTCGCTCTTTTTTTTCTTTAAGTTCAGATTTTAATTATTATGTTTAAATTTTAGATAAACTAAGTACTTAAATATTGCTATTTATTTAAGATGGGGTTTTATCGTTCATATTATTTTATTAAAAATCCACATCTTGCAATTCTTTATTTTTATTAAATTATAAACCTAAAAAGGATATTAATATATAAATGCTATAAAAATTTTTATATATATATATATATATAAATAAGTTTTATACTTTATTCATGTGATTTTTTCTTTGTGTTTTTTTATATTGATATAAATTCATTTTTATCTTATTTATTTACAGAATTGAAGTTATCTGGAATTTCATCTTCATCTTCATTTAATATATAATTTTAGTTTTCGGATTTTAATTAATTATTATCATGATTTTAATTTTCTCTTTCAAAATAATAACTTTAAGTCCTATTTAATTTTAATTAGTTTTAATTCAAAATATTATTTAAATTTAAAGTCTATACTTAGGAAAACATTCGTTATTTATTATTTTATTACTTTTTATATTATTATTTATTAATAAAATTATTTTTTTAAATTTAATCTTATTATTATTATTGTTGTTAATTTATATCATTTTCTTCATTTATTTCTATTTTTACATTACTTTCTAAAGGAAGTATTATAATATCATTTTCTTATATAATTGTGCTTTTTTTTTTTATTATTTAATCCTAAAATCTTGCTTTTTAGTTTTAATCATCATCCTCCAAATTAATACCATCACTTTCTTATGAATTTTTAAGATTATTTGGAGATTCCATTTATTTTGTTTTATTATCAAATGTATTGTTTTATAATTAATATTAATAGTTCATTTAATTTTTTTATATTAAAATTAATTAAATATAATATAATTATAATTAAATAAATATTTGTAAATATATATATCTATATATATATATATATATATATATATATATATATAT